GACATGTCGATCGATGATCCTGGAATGAACGTTTCAACCTCGAACTGTTCCTCCACACACCGGCACTCGGACCAAGAAAAATAAGTGCAACGACGAGCCATGCTGGTGTTCTCTGGGGGCGTCCTGGGAGCCAACCTGGCTGGCGAAATATGACTGACAAACCTTCTCTGGACGAGGCGCGCTGGTCTACGGTCACACACGTTTTTCTTTGCACCTATCCATGCGGAGCGAGCAGTACCCTGATGCAAGGGCTACGACGCTGAACACGTTCGTGTGCCGGACCCGCCGGAAGACGCATGTTGGGCAATGGGCCGTGGTTTAGAGTGTGCATCGGTAGTGTTGACCCCTCCCATGGATGATGTTTCCCTTTCTTTCCCCTGCCACCTTCTGAAGCGTCCCTCGCTATCAGTTTATCAAAGCAGCTAATCAAACAAAACCGGCTTTTGCTGGGTCGTCTATCTATGTTTGACCAACAGCACTTTGCGAGAAAAGAGGAAGAGACGGACGGCAGAATTTTAGACTTTGTCAGATCCGCTCACTAGAAGATCTCTGACCAACCCAACTTTGGCACGAAAGGGAATATGCCTCAGTCTCGCATATAGCGGAATCCACTCTCCATGCTTCGGTTGACTTTTTTTTTTTTTTTTTTCAATCTTTCGCAGTACGGATACAGTATTCCTTTTCTCCATGTACAGTCATCACCAGTGTTGCTTCTGCGGATACAGATCTTCGTTGAGCCCCCCACCCCCCACCCACATATAACACGAACTTGAAGCGCGGGAAACCCGACAGGTATTACTCTGAGCGTGGTTCGCAATGACTTCATAGAAACCCCGCTGGGCGTTGTTTCTTCTCCGTGGTGTTGCTATATCCCCTTAGGTAAAAAAGCAACTGGAGTCCTACTTGACGGGTCCTAAGTCCGCTTCTTTATGTACCGAATTGTGCCTCTCCCTTCGAGCCTACCTAAAAGGATAGCTCTCATGCTGACCATCACTTTTTGTGTCCTGACTTGAGCGAACGGACACAATAGCCCGGGTGCTGAGAGCGGAAACATAATCACAAGGGACAAGCAAGAGCAAGGACGAGGCAAATTGGAAAACGGAAAGAAATCTACAGACGACGCTCCGAGAGCCCCAAAGTCCGTGCTCGTTTGTGCAAAGTCCATCCTTTTTCTACAATACCTTTCCATTGCCTGGGGAAACTCAATCGTTGTAGTGTCGTCCTTTCTTTCACCTTTCTCACGAGGCAAAGGATAAACTTCTTCACGATTTGGGTTTATTCGCCGAGACCTAGTCACTTATGCGACGCTGTCTCGTGTTTTCTAGATAGTTTCCTTCTTGGATCTCTACCTCGCTCATTCTTCCCAAAGGTCTCGTACAGACATTTTCATCTTGTTCCACACTGGGCAAATCACCGGAAGATGAAAGACATAGACTGAATGACTGCAATTGGATTTTGCTGATTATAGAACGTACACGCAGTGCTGCTAATTACCGCTAGTGACTAGGTATTCACCACCATTCCCCTCCATCCGGTTGTTCTTTGCCGAAACTCCGTCCCATCAATAAAGACTTTTAACCCTTCCCCCCTAAGAAGAGTTCCGAAGGCTGTTTCCCAGCTTTCCCCGACGCCTGTAATCCGCCAATTCCGATACCGCATAATAAAGCCTGTCTCATATCGAGACCAAAAGCTCGACGTTCTTCATCGATAGACTGGGCGAGGAGCCTCGTCGGTGTAGTACACGGGCCGATCAATGTATGACACTTCCGGCTCGCCCCGTGCGGGGGCCGGCTGTCCGTAGTAAGGCTGCTGCTCCACCGGCCTGGCACTATACTCCCGCCGCAGCACCTGAGGCTCGGCAGGCCGCACGCTGTAGGACCGAGGTCCAGGGTGAACCATCTCCCGACGGGGGTCGGGGTGCATGGGTGCCGAAGCGTAGTCCTGGATGGGAATCTGCTCCGGCCTCACACTTTGGACTCTTCCATACTCTCGCGGAAGCTCATAGCGTACCGCCGTCTCCGCAGGGCGGGCTGTTGTCGCCCGCATCATATACTCTCTTGGAGCCTCCTCAATAATCCTCCGCTGTTCCATATCACCTCTGGCAGGGATAAATTCTTGGCCCGGGGGTGCCATTGGCCTCGTAGAATACTCTCGCTGTCTGTAGATTCGTTGAGGGTCTGCAACGTACTCGGGTTGTGTGACGACTCTCCTCGGTGCTGCGTACACTGGCGAGGTCCGCTGGTAGAGGACGTCGTCGTCTCGAGGGGGTGGGCCTGGTCGCCTAGACTCTGCTCGAATGGGTGCTCTTTCGTAAATAACCTCGGGCTCGCCAGGTCGCAGTGGTGAGGGCGCAACAGACTGACGGACAACAGTCGATGGTTCGTAGTATCGACGGCCAGTAGCGGGGTCTACCACAACTCTACCGGACGGCGCTTTGGGTGGTCCCATTAGCGGGGATGCCCTCTCTCTCATGATGGGTGAGCGAGATCTTGCGCGATCTGTCATGGGACGAGTGCTCATGCGCGTCACTTCGTAACCATCACGATAGTATCGTGCAGGTTCCCTACCGTAGCGGTCGACACTAGCTGGAGATGTTGCGTACACCTCACTTGGCGCAGCATGAACAGCATAGACACCAGGCGACGGCACATGCCGCACATACTCGGCGCCGCTGATAACGCGAGGCTCCTCAATGTACTCTCTTCCATACCCATAGTCACCAATCGCCGCGGCTTGGCTCGCTGGCCGTGGACGGTACTCTTGCGTATTGTACATGGGCGCAGCACCTTCCTCTCTGTATGATCGAGAAAATTGACGCTCAGGCTGGGCGTAACGAGGCTCCTCGTCACCCTGTCTTCTTTGGCGCTTCTGTGGCCGAATGAAAGACGGCGCATTCATCGGAGACGGCGATCGCGGTTCTGGCTTGATGTAAGGCTCGTCTGGCGCTTGCCTGGCTGCCCTCTTGCCGTTCTTCTTCTTCTTCCCCTTCCGCTTCTCCCCGCTTCTACCCCCTTGCGGCGAGCTATCTGGACTGGAAATAATATTGGGCTCATTGCGTAGTGCTGCAACTTGAGCTGTGGTTCCTTGAGGGATGGTCAAGTCTTGAGCATCCGCTGCTTGACCTCTGGCCATTGCAAGAGGCGAGACATGGGAGGGCTGGGGCGCTAAGGGGGATATGTTGTGGGCGCGAACCTGTATCAAAGGCGAGGGTTGGCGAGCGAGCATAGACTCCCTAAGTTGCTGTTGACCTGCGGCAGGGACAGACCTATCAGCACTGTCGTCAAGGTCCATAACGCCTGACTCCTCAGAACGACTGGTGTTTCCGCTCCCACCTCCTGATGTAGACAACCCCGTATTATCACCCATATCCATTCTTTGCGTCGTTCCTACCGACGGGTATCGCGAAAATTCGGGTGCGGCATCGGGTCTGCTTGGAACTGGTCGAGACTGGGAGGGATTGGAGCTCAAGGCTTGGCCCTGTGGCTGATGAGTAGCAGAGGCATGGAGTCTTGAGGACTGCAGACCAGCTTGGGTCTTCTGCTTTGCTTGTACTTGCGCCTGATCTTCGAATGGCTGGCCTGTGGTGGAAGCCTTCTGTGTTTGTGCCGTGACTTCGGCATCGTTACCGCCGCGTGAACTGCGGTGTGAGGAATCTGGCGAATTGACTTGGGAAGAATAGTAAGAGTTCTCATCAACGGAGTCACTTGCAGCTGAAATGTTAGCAGCAGCCAGTGTAGCATTGACAGACGAAGGAGCAGCAGCTTGGACCAGAGTCAGAGCCTTGGACAGGACGTCGGAGAGGTCAAAGTCGGCCAGAGGCTCCGACTGCGCCGAGGCCTTCATAGAAGCCCGACGTTGATCGACCTCGTCGCGAAGTGCCCGTTCAAGGCGTTGCCTCTGGAGCTGTATCTCGGCCTTGATGAGATCATCAGACTTTTGAAGAAAAATAGGATTGATCTCGGTTTTGCCAGAGCCAACGAACGGTCTTGCAGGCAGGTTCGCATTAGCAGGGGGCGGGTTTCCTAAACCAGGAAGAGAAGCTTGTGGCGTGTTGGTCGCGAACGACTGCAGATTCCCAGCTTGATAAACCTGCGCTGTGCTTCCATTCGTCTCTTTTGCTGGTGTAGAAGGGTTTGATGAAGATGCTATGGCAGGAGTCGATGTTTGGCTCGCCAACTGGGCTGGCACTTTGATCTTGGAATGCGAGCCAGCAAGAATGGCATCGCGAAACTGCACGATTTTCTCGTACTGTTGTATCTGGTGTAGCTCATCTCTTGAAAGACCCGAAAAAGTCCCATTTGCCAACGGCGGTAGTGATGCGAGCTGGCCTTGAGCCATGGCGAAATGCAATTTGCGCAAGAAAATCCTCCGCAGTCAAGCAAGAAAGCGCGAAAAGAAAGGAATTCAAGAAGACAAACAGAACTACCAATATCGTGAGAATCAGCACTGTTGACTATACCCGAAGCGTAGCAGACTAAAGCGCAGTAATTTCTGCAGTGTCGTAGAAGATGAAGAAAAGGCGTCGTGCCGCTGGTGGATGTTGAGAGGAAAAGGAATGGGTCGTGGGCCATCTGTAGTGGTTTCTTTCTGAACTTTTCCTACAAGGATAAATCCTTATAAGAATCTTGCGGATCAGTTGTGGGCCTGGATGGGTGATTCAGGCTTGGGTGGGTCATGCAGCTAAGCGAGTATGTCACCAGCTTCCCAGCCTCGGCGTATTTTGGTCATAGTCACCACTAATGTTTTCGCGCCAAGGTCCCCGACAGCCGGAAACAGCTCCCTGTACCTTAGCTTCCTGTAATTACCTCAACAGCGTAACGAGGTACCTATATCGGCGTGAGTCAACAACACTACCTTACATACTGCTGCCAAAATATCGCGAAAAGCCTCAAAAAGCCCCAAGCTGCATTTGTAAGCCAGAAACGGGGTATTCCAACTTTGAGTCCAAGGAAAAGAAACATAAGTGTCAAACTCCAGACCAACGTGGTTTCGCTTGCTTCATGCCGATCAGACTCCCACCAAACATACCTCGAAGCTTCTCTTCTTCAGCCCGACTTCGGTCCTTTCCTTCACCAAAGACCCGGCCTTACACAACAAGGCGCGGCATTGAGCATCGCAAGCCCCTTTTGTTTTCACCCTCCATTCTCAGACATACAATAGACGGCGCCTGCTATACGACATCAGCCATGAATACCAGCAAAACCCACACAAATGGAGTGTCAACTTCAAAGCCTGTGCTGTTTTTGTAAGTTGAACCTCACCAATGCGGATAAACATTTTGACTAACAACCGCATAGTGACATTGATAACTGCCTCTACCCGAGGAGTGAGTTCTGGAAGACATTCGGGACGGCATCATCAAGACTGACTCTCACTAGGTTCAAAAGTCCAGGACCACATGGCACAGCTAATTGACGAGTACTTCGTAAAGCACCTTTCCCTCCAGTGGGACGATGCCGTGAAATTGCACAAGGAGTATTACACCAACTACGGCCTTGCGATTGAAGGCCTGGTTCGCCACCATGAGATCGACCCTCTAGAATACAACGCCCAGGTCGACGACGCCCTGCCTCTTGAGGATATCCTCAGTCCGAACCCTGAGCTGCGCGAGCTGCTCGAAGATGTCGATAAGAGCAAGTGTACCATGTGGCTCCTCACCAACGCCTACGTAAACCACGCTAAGCGCGTGACCAAGCTGCTGGGTATTGACGATCTCTTTGATGGCCTCACTTTCTGCGACTATGGACAGGCACCGCTTGTCTGCAAGCCTGCCAAGGAGATGTACTTGAGGGCTATGCGTGAGGCGGGCGTCGAGAAGATGGAGGATTGCTACTTTGTTGGTATGTTATTATTCGTTCACTGACAAAGGATCCGACGCTGAACATCTGCCATAGACGACTCTTACCTGAACTGCCAAAAGGCCCAGGGCTATGGGTGGAACGTAGCCCATCTCGTCGAGGAGGATCTCCCTGTGCCGAAGACGCCTGCATCCGCTCATCAGATCCGTCACCTCAGGGAGCTGCGAGACACCTTTCCTCAATTCTTCAAGTCCAAGAACGCTTAGACTATTATAACCTTGGACAATGATTGAACGACAGTGGACGGAAATGAATAGAGGGGGAAGGAGGATATAAGCCAGAGAGATAAAAAGGCTCGGAAACACATTTTTTGTGTTGGATTGGGTATCGCTAATTCATAGATATCCTTAAACTTGAATACCCCCCGTTTGACCCATTTTCAACGCCCAAAACACCCCAAATGCAATGCTGTCCAGGTGATCGATGTGATGGTTCATGGCCGTCGAACACTTCTAATCACTTCATCAAGCTTCGCCAGAATCTGGTCCTTCTCTCGTATCGCATCCTGCCTCTGACTCTCTGCGACCTTGAGCTCATCTTCCAGCTCCTGAATATAGCGCTCCTGGTCGGCTTCGCTACTGTCCAAACCCGGCAGGCTGGAAATAAGGACCTCGATTTGTTGTTCCTTGATGATGAGGTCGCGCGACAGCTCAGCTAGGCCGTCCTTGAATTCGTCTGCGGGGAGAGGATCGACTGCGAGCGAGCTTGTTTAGCATTTGTCCTTCGTGCTGGGACCTATCATGATAGAATAACCTACCTTCTTTCTGTTCCGGATCCTGTTTGACCTCTCTAATTTTATCGTTGGGTCCGAGCAGCTCGAGATCGTGGCGCCGGTGGACGAAGTGGAAGCTTGCGACGAATTGCTGGGCAAGCTGTCGACAGAAGTTAGTATTTGCCAAAGGAGCGGATGGGAGATGGGAAATAAAGATCAACATACCTGGTCCACAGCGTCTTGCAATTGAGTAAGTCTGTCGCCCATGGCACCGGTAACGCAGTAAGTTCGTGCGATGTGGTGGGTTGTAGTGCTGAAGTTAACAGTGACAAACAACCTTGGAGGTTGTGAATGCGACGCGGGAGGTTGTTCTGCGGGCCAGCTGCTAAGGTATGCACCTAGGCGTGAACGCACTGGCCAGCCCAGGGTCGCATGCCTGCTGCGGTACGTACCTTTTTCAACTGTTGCGAACCTCTTGATCTGAGTGTACTTAATTGAGAACAACAGGAAAGATTCCTTCAACACTCGCAATATGCGAACCTACCTACCAATTCCATGAAATCCTGACACTGGGTTCAAAAATTCCAAGAGCATGCAAGCTCTACTACGCTCATTACCTCGGCATTTGTCTCGCCATAATCGACTTGCTATCTCATCAATCCTGTCAGCTCCCCTATCGACATGTCCATCATTAAGAAAACGACAAGAGAAGGGTCTGGAGTTGCTATACCCTGACGCTCCATCAACAAACCATCATGATATGACATCCTTCCTTGCGTACGCAAACCGTACTGGACTCGATGTGGCATCAACAGTCTACGTCGGAACCCACTACGAGTACACAGTCTCCTCGGCACTCGCCCAATTCGGCATCCACGCTATTCGTGTAGGCGGAGCATCCGACCAGGGCATCGACCTCCTCGGCACCTGGAGTCTTCCCTCCCGGGCCGAGAATCTGAAGGTCATCATTCAGTGTAAAGGAGGTGCCCAACGCGTCGGCCCTTCGATAGTTAGGGAATTGGAAGGTTCCTTCATCGGCGCCCCGGTGGGTTGGCGTGGCGAAGGAGTCATTGCCTTCCTGGTCAGCGAGAAGCCAGCAAGCAAGGGCGTGCGAGAGTCTCTGGGACGGAGCCGCTGGCCCATGGGATTCATCTCGTGCTCCAGGGAGGGGTCAGTGCAGCAGATGCTCTGGAATCAACGGGCTGACGAGGAGGGTCTGCGAGGTATTGGGGTGACGATGCGCCATACCGAGAACGGAGAGGGCGAGTCGCAGATTGTCTTGACACACAACGGAAAGCGAATCCCCCAAGCTTCCGAAGCAAAAATTTCCGAGGGTGACTGAAGTCTCGGTTCAACTATTGAGCATTCAACTTTAGACGCTAAGCCAGCGAGATACACCGCGCAGGGGTGGGTAAATCCGCTGGAAGGCACTTGTCGGGAATCAACACGGACACTAGAGTACCATACTTCTTCGTTTGAGACGAAGAGTCAAGTGGCCATGTACTGGGGCTCTAGCAATGTTGCATTGCGGACAAATACTTAGTTTCATCTTATATTGCACAGCAGAAAACGGCCTGGTACTGCACAATACCGTATATTCCGATATGCTGGGTCATCATCTCTGACTGAAACAGGATCACGACGCTGAGAGGCATTTGAGATATCTCTAGAAGCCGTGATGGAGGAAGCATTTGAATGCAGGGAGGCATAGTGGCGGTTGCCAGACAGCACATGGCCCTAGGGCTGTAATCAGTTCGCATATAGGAAGTCTGTCTCTCTCTACCTAACTATGCTCATAGAATACCGAGGTCATCGAAGCTACCATAACATCATTCTCATTCCACATCACCCTCAGTCACCAAGGCTTAAGTCCTTGCCCGCCAGATCTCACTTGGCTTCTATCACCCCTTCTTCGACAACGAACCTAGCACCTTCATTCCCGCCACAAAAACTCACTATCGTCTTGTCGGCCCGAGACTCCAATTCCTCGAGTTGTATAACAGGTATTGATTGGCTGCTGTGTCGATTCTCGTTTCTCTCATTCGAGCTTTGTTCCTCCGATATGTTGTAAAATAGCAGAGGTAGGATTGACGACTTCCAGATGGGTTGCCTCCCACTGTCTCGGCAACTCTGAACATACGCGGCCACGAGCAGGGCTGATGTCAAGGCCAGAAGAGCTGCAGGGTAAAGTAGCCACCATCCCTCAAACCTTACACAAATCGAGGTTTGATTGCAGATTCCCTCCTTATAGCTGTTTGATGTATCCGTCTCCGAAAAAGTCAGTCCATTCTGACGCATTCGATTCGTAATGGCGATAGACATGTTGTCGTGAGCAGCCGCAAGGCTGTCAAATGTGGCCATCCCTCCACTGTAGAGAGCGTCAAGCCACCAACCTGTTTCGCATTGTAGCTGACTGGAGTTTCCGATTCCATTGACGGCTTCAGGAGATGTTGGTCCATTTTCGGTGACGTCGTAGAGTTTGCAATGTCCTCTCAGTTTGTCCTCGAAGAATAATCTAATACCATGGAACTCGCGGTAGTCCATGGCTCTGACACACTGAGGCGGAGCCTCCTTTGTAACTCCATCTGAGATCCACGAGGTCCAAGGTAGGCCATGTCTAGGGGCGTCTGTAATGTTGGACACGCCGTACGATTTGTTGTCAATAATGCAAGGCTGGATCACTGAAGCGTAACTAATGCCGCTCGACGTTTTAGACAATGGCTCCGTCGATATTAATTGCTCATTTAGGGTACCATTCGTGACATTTCCATTGTAATGACGGAGACAAGGATAGAGACTGCAGTTGGCAGCCACAATATCAAGGTCAGAGCTGAGTCTCGGCATATTCTTATAGTCATGCTTGCAGTATCGATCGGCCGGGGCATCTGGGTTACGCTGCGCAACGCAACCTGCCACCGAGAGCGTTAGGAAGGACGTGACGATAGGGTTTTCATGGGTGTGATCAATGACTGTTGTTGCATTGAACAATTCCGGTTCAACGCCAGTGTTGATGGAGAAATTCGAATCCTTGTGGAAGCGATAAATGTTACGATATCGGCCGAACAATTTTGTCTTTGAGTCTTCAAACTCTAACAAGTCGGACTTCACGTCGGTACACTTGCTGCAAACCCCGACGGACGAGTGCGTGACTCCCGAAACGTTTTGGAACACACAGTTACCCGACTCGCACTCGAATAGCTGAGAGCTGTCGGGAGGTATACCGAGTAAGCCGTTGATAATGGCGGTACTCATCTTCGCGTTGGTATCTGCTCCACTGATCATAGAATCATGCCTCGCAACCCGCTCGGCTATTGATATACGAGCAGTGCACTCGGATGAGACCTCGCAGGAATATGTTTTGACAGCTTGCTGAGAGAGAGGGCCAGTGGCGTATGAGGCGATCACAACTAGAGCTCCAAGTAGTGTTGTGTTCCTGTTATAAGTGTTACTGGAAATACCATCTATTTATGAATAAGATTATAGCATACGGCTTGGGGATGGTTACTAGGAACTTCAACGATCCCCAAGCACCTTTGCCAGCATTGTCAAAATGTTCGACATGCCGCAGGGGACGCGGCGCCGCCATCCATAACCACTTAGCTTGTCCAATGACTGAATTCATCAGTATATTTTTCTCTTAAGAATGAGGGAAATATTATCTACCTTGCGACAAAACGAACAGCATCGCGGCTCTCAGGAGCGTGGTCAATATGGCAACAAGTGTGTTAATACTTACACTGTATGCCCAAGCCGGCTGCGGTTTCCCATTGCTGAACACTAAGAGAATGACCATAACAACAAAGGCGAAAACAGAAGTCAAGAGTGCCGTAAACTCGAGGTTCCATTGTTTCAAGGTTGACACTCTGCCGAGGGGCTGATGAAGTAGGCCGTTCTTCTCAGCTCGATTGAGATCCCCCTCATCGATGCCCTTGGGACTAGCTGATGAAAGCCCGTTGATTTCATCTCGGGACTCCTCCTCTGAGGGAACAATAGTATAGTCACTTATCGAAGCATCGTTCTGGAAGTTGTCGGGCTGCTGGTTTGATATGATTCTGCCGTGATGCACTTCATCTGTGAACGATACAGACGAAGGTCTGGGAGACGACTCATCTCCAGCGGTATGGGCAGAGTCTTGGTAAGGTGCCATTTCGAGACGTCACAAACATTTCAAGACACTAGAGGTGACGACTGGACTTGATAGAGGGGGCCGAGTCTTTATGTGCGGACGCATCAGAGATGCATATCGTCGATCAGGCTGAGCCCGTGGGGGCCTCAATGACATGCATAAGCTTATGGCTTTTTCGTCCCGTGGCGAGGAGGACTTGGCTGCATGTTGGATTTTTCTGACGATTGGTACGATAAAGCTGCACTGCCCATCTGCGGTACAACAACAGATCTGATTGTGGTTCTCGTGTGGACGACGCAGGCTGGCAAGCTGAGCATGCAATCGCAGCCAGCCTTCTGCCCGCATGACGCCCTACGGCGTTCGCAACCGCTACAGCGGACCTAACAACCATCAGTGGTAAAGGAGTGACTGCGAAAATTCGGTGAAAATCTGGGATATGTCCAGATAAACGGCCTAAATTGAGAGAGACAATCGTCAACTAGGTCTTACCTGAGGGAAATCTGAATCAAATTGCGAATTACCAACGGAAGTGAGTGATCCCCTACTCTTCTATTATAGGTAAGAAGAAGAAGAAGAAGAAGAAGAAGATTGCTTTTAATTAGTTGCTTTAATGGTCTGCCGAGTAAAAGACCTTGTATCGTCTTAGAAGAAAATCACTAATCAACCTAGAAGTCCCAACTTGAATACCCAGCATGGCAGGAACCAGTTACATTCAGATAACCTGTCCTCATACATGTGTATAGAATGCAAGATAATAGAGGCTACATATCAACTCATACAACTGTCGGCATGGAAGCTGCTGGTTCTCGTGTCATGTCAAGACACCCACGGTGCCACCTCTCGTGAACCATTTAACCCCGAGGTTGAGTTCGGGCCCACGTTCTCGGCATACCTCTTCTATACCTTGCGCAGTACCGAGAAGTTGTCCACTTTTCCATTCTTACCTCATTGACTGTACGGGTGATGGATTCTGGCTCTATCCAGTCTCAACCACACATCTATAACACTCAAGAAAACGGCCCCCCTTCGCCTTTCGTCGACTCTAGAATTCTCGAGTCCACCACTACGATAATGAGCAGGCTCGGAAAACCTCATGTGACCCTTGAGCTGGAATCTAAATGGACAAACCGGCAAATAGCATGCGCAGCGGGCGTCCTGGGTACGGACACTTGTGTCACACGGGATGTCTAGCCCTCGATACTGATAGAGGTAAGAGTGCCTAAGGGTGCCGAGTAGATACATATTAGACAACAGACCATGAGACATATTAAAACACATACAGAGCAAACTTATCAACAGATCTACCACACGTTGAAGTCTTCAAGGAGATCCACATACAACGGATTTAAAGATTCAGTTAACGCTGCGCCGGATATGGACTCAAACGACACAACACCTAATACACAGAACCATCTCAACAACACCTCCATCTATCCCATTTTCCCTTCATGTAGTTTAACACTAATCAGCATGATCAGTCGCACATTACACCAACGCAAACGCAAAAGAAAGCCCAGCCGCGCCTGACCTAATGCTCCCAATATCGCGATAGATCCACCCACAGCGGATCCCTCAACCCACCACGGCTCCATCATCACCAAGCAAAACTTCAAAAACATACAACACCAGGTATTCGCTGGTCGTCACCGACCCAACTACTAATCCGGCCCTCACTGGCTTATCTATGGGAGAGCGGACGGGATCCCGAGTTTTCCAGTGGGTATGGTCGTATGTGGTAGAAAGTAAAGGCAGAGTCGCCCATATCGTGAGATGGCGCACAACACCGAGTAGCCGTTCTTCCCCACATCAACACGACACCACACAAGAAATGACAGCTGATAAGAATAATTCACAGAGAGAAAGCTGTTTTGCTTTATTTGTCTTGACTGGAATAGTTTCTTCCTAATACCGTGACTGAGGGAAAGTCGCCAACCGCCACAACTCTCCTCATCTCGCGATGGAGGTTCCCCCCCGCCCAGTCCCACAGCAAAGACCAGAGGTTTAGGGATTGCTCCAACATAGAGAGAGCGTTACTTCAATTTTCAAATAAACCAGAGACAATATGGCTGTGTCAACAGGGCTCCTAGGATTTGCTTTTTGCAATCTAGCTTCGGCGCAGCTTCATCCGCACAGCGATAGGCACTCCGACTCATTTGGCTACGTGAACCCGCCTTTGCATCACTCCCTACCTGTCCCACAACTGACAATATCCCTTCCCATCAGAGAAATATCATGGCACAGCAACGCAGCAGTTCAAGTGATGGACACTTCAAGGTCCGCAGACTTCACTTCAACACGAGAATTTCCCTGTATCTACGCTGTTAATCTACGCCATTGGCCCGTAGGGTGGCCAAATCACCTAGCTTCTCCTTGGCCATCACCAACATCACCGTGTAAACACTTTTTCAAACAGTCAAGGGAATCCGCATGCGACTATCTAAACCTCCCAACCTGCCTACTGCCTGAATCCCGAAGCAGAATAAATCCCATTCGTCAGTGTTCCTCCGTCCTATTGTCGAAGAACCTGCACACGCCTTATATGTGTTTGGGTAAGTCAAATCAATGCCTGGTAAGACTGGGTGTGGTGTTGTATGCAGTTTTGAGGTTGTTGTAATACATGAGCCATCGAGAGAGGCAAGGGGGTATTTCCTCCTCCCGAAAGTACGATCCACTTCCCATCACGCCAGGTACCCAAGCTCGTCGTCTTCGAGTCGCTCCAAGTACTCCTTGTCGAGCAGGATCTCTATGCACTTCTTGATGTCCGAAACCTTTGGCACGAAACGCGACCGGATCTGGTTGATGGTCTCGCTGACGAGCTGAGTGTGCTTCATCTTCTTTCTGGCCTTCATGATACGAACGATGGCAGACTGTACCTTGTTAGTACGTGAAAAATCACTGTCATAGAAATGGATGGACATACCTGCAGCAGAAGCTTGCGGTCCTCCTCGATCGTCTTGTTCGTCTCCACCTCCTCCTGCTTAGTCTCCTTGGCACCACCGAGGTTCAGGTTAACTCTGATCTTCTTGCTCTTGAAGTCATAGTTGAGGCGGAAGCTCTTGCCGGCCTCCGGCTTGCCTTCGGGTGACATAATGAGGACCTTGGCCTTGAGAAGAATGGCCAAGGCCTGGTCAAGGACCTCAGAGCTCAATAGGGTAATACCCGAAATATCCTCGTAAGTGTACTTGTCCTTATCGTTGTAAAGGAGCAGGATGGCCATTTGGTAGGCAGACACCTGGAATGTGTAAGGCGTCTTGCTGTTCTTGCAGTAGCCGGCCTTCAGCTCGCCCTTGCAAAGCTGCCACAGCCACGTGAGCTTGCGACCCTCGTGCCGGTTCTTGTAGAATCGGGTAAACCGCTCGCAGTCGTCATTGATCTCGTGTGGGGGAGTGAAGCTGGTGTTTGGTGCGGTCAGGGGCCAGAAACCAGTACCGAGGATGGAGTATTGGGAGTCGAGGGTAGTCTTAAGACCCTCAAGACCTGCGACATGCTCCTTGAAGCTGACATTAAGGTCCTTGGACGTCTGCATGTCCTGGAACATCCTCTGGAGCTTGTTGGTGTACTCGAAACCACACGCCTCCTTGAGTTTACTGATCATGCTCGTTTCCGCGTCGTCGGATGACGAGTTACTGTGCACCAGACGGCGGGCGAGCATGCGTGAGTAGAACTTCTGGAACACGTCCTTGTCCTCAATGTACTTGAAGACGGTCATAATCTGGGTGAGCGTGTTCTCCAACTCGCCCTCCTCGATGCCAGTGCTGCTCTTGCGCAACAACACATCTGTGTACTTGGCCAAGAGCTCTGGCGACTTGTTGGAGCCAGACTTGCAGACTTCGTTTCTGTTGATGAACTCGCGGCAGGCATTGTCCAAGGACCGCGTGAACTCGGCTTCGCCATCAAACGCACGCGTCACCAGACCTGAGTACTGGGAGTGGATCTCCAACAGCGCATCGACATAGACCTTTGGCTCCAGCTTCTCGGCGTCAGATGCCACCTTCTCCACAGCACTCAGACCTGCCTTGCGGACATGTGTCTCGAACCTCTGCCTCAGAGGATCCAAGCCCTCCGGAATCCTAGACAGTAGCTTGTACATCCTCGCCATATCTTCTTCTCTGTCGTTATCCAGGAGGACCTGGAATTCGTCGCGAAGTAGCGTAGAGTGATCGGCAATGAGGGCTTGGTTGCACGTCTTGCGCAACGGTGTGATGATATCAGCGTGTAGAAACATGCGCACCCGCTCCTCCTCTTCCTCAAGTCTCGTCTCCGCCTTCTTCATGTATTCGACAACACTGTTCTCAGCGACGAATTGTTTCGACTCATTCTGGTAGTATTCTTTCGTCGCAGCCAAGAAGGGGCGCTCGAAGTGGAAGCGGTAGACGTCGAGAGTGGACTTGGTGGGGTCGGCATCGTCGAGACCGAGGGATACGAAAGAGTCGACAACTTGCTTTATCTGACCATACTCAATGGTCTCGCCGTTGCGCTGCTTCTCGACCAGCTTCAGAACCGCCTCCATAACCTTGGTCGATACCTGCTCGAAGAGAACCCTACGCCACTGGACCAGGTGCAACGTGTAGACGTCGTAGATGTTCTTCTTGCCCTCATCCATCTCGCGCTTGACCCAGTGTCGGTTCAGATACCGGAAAAGGTGATGGATGTACTTGGCCGCAATCGTGTATCGGTTCCATTCTTTGATATAGAATGTCAGCAAGGCTTCGTCGGTGTGCGTCTTGGACTGCTGAACGAGCCCTTCGAGATGTTGCTTGAGGTACTCGATGAGCTTGTTGTAGAGCTCCTCTCCGAGAAGGTGAGCTATCACGAGATGTCAGTATAGCTGCCCCACGCAGCAACGGAAGCGTGTTCCATGCTCACCTCCTCTGTGGTTGCCTGATCCGATGCTTCCCTGGGGAACGGATAATCCGACAGCCTTTTGGGATGTGCAGAAGTTGTGGACGGCACTAGAGATCAAGTTAGAAGATGAAGATAGTGACCGGTTAGCAAGGCGTACGTGTAGACTCCCATGTACT